AATTGGTCCTGTCTCTGCTATTTGGCTCATGCAGAATCCCCCCCTGGCTGCTTCAGAATGGCTTCCATAGTGCATGTCCGATAATGTCCTTAAAACAACCTTAAACGTTGTTTTTTAAAAATATGCTACTCACCGGGTAGTCAGCGCTGTTCAATGACGTTCCAAAAAAAGTTTCGTAAAGAAAAAACGTTCCTGTAGTGTTTTATTTAGCATTTTGTAAATCCCATTGAGTTCTGTTGCAATAGTCAATATCCCTCCGCCACCGGAAACGGAAATGGAGCCTGTTTACGCTTAGTTGTAGTCTTTTCGCAAGGCCCAAGTGTTTCTGCTTCACTCTGTGTCCTCCGACGTCGAGGTGCTAACGTCTCTGTTAAACACTTTAAAAAACTCTGAAAATGGAATACGAAAGGTGGATTCTTGAGGAGGACATATTGGACTTTGAGTTTGACGGTAGAGGATACCGTCGCCAACAAGTGGTCTGGAGTGTATAACGCTTCAGATTCGAACGGGAAGCGGAAGTTTATAAGCGGTTGTGATGTATCGGAAAAAATAGTTCTGGGATTTACAAAATGCTAAATAAAACACTACAGGAACGTTTTTTCTTCACAAAACTTTTTTTGGAACATCATTGAACAGCGCTGACGACCCGGTGAGTAGCATATTTTAAAAAAAGAACGTTTAAGGTTGTTTTAAGGACATTATCGGACATGCACTATGGAAGCCATTCTGAAGCAGCCAGGGGGGGATCCTGCATGAGCCAAATAGCAGAGACAGGACCAATCGTCAACATTTTGGTGTCAATCATTCGATTTCATCCTGGACACTACAGAAAATGGGCTAAAAGTGTTAAAAACCAGAATTTTCCTTTAACTAATTATCTTATCTTAAGAGTAAAAATACTAATTCCATTGGCAAATTGTCACATTTAACTGAGATTACTAAATTGAGGGTAAATACACTTGTATTAAGACTTGTTTATGTTGTTAAAGGCTGTCATACTGCTCTTACTTTCAGGAATTAGTCAATATAAGAATAAGAAGAATAACCTGCAGAATTAGATCAAACCTATTTATCCAAATTAGAATATAATAGAAAATCCCTTTTATTGTCCCACAATGGAGACATTTTGGTGTTTAAAACAGCAAAAACATTGTAGAAAAAAATGGTCACACAAATGTGGACCTTAGAAAAAATTTATAAGAATAACATAACAGTCAAGAGTGAAAAACAGCACTCACCTTTTCACTGTGGTGTTAGATTCATATAAAGTCAGTTGTGTATACAAAACAAAATTTTGTTGAGTACAGCTTTTCAGACAGTATATGGACACATTGTTAAAGGTAAACAGCATCAGTCAAATTGCTAAAAGACAAAAATTCCTACATAAATATTTCATTTTTTCCTTGCCAGGCTCAATAGACAGCAACTAACACACCCTGATACATATGAAGAGAGAGAGAGAGAGAGAGCATATGAGCGGGTAGAAGCACTTTGAGTGCAGCATTTTTTCCTGCCTCTTCCCTCCATCTCTCTCCCCGACACATGTTCAATTATTAACCGGCATGACGACTCCGCAGGGAAGGAGGAAAGAGTCATACGGAGAGAAGGTGAGACATAACAAGGAGGTACTTTATCAAACATCCAGCTGTGACTCGTCAGCTCACCTCAGACATCTCCTTACTGATGGATAAATTCAGGAGATGAACCAAAAACCAAGGTTAAAATGAAAAACCTGCAAACTTTAACTTTTGACAAGTTATTTTCAATTGTGCAATTTTGGACTATTAAAAACTCCTCGATACAGTTCCTGAAGCAGCAGTGTTTCAGTTCCTTTCATACACTCTATGATGCATTAGATTAAATCACATAAAGCTTTAATGAGGCTGCGCTGCAAGCTGTTGGGTTGTTAAATTTATATCAAGCTACGCTTGAGCGAAAATTCTCAAGTGTGAGTCGAAACTAAAGGTGTTATACTCACAAATGAGCTCTGATTGAAGCAGATCACATTATTTGCCTTGTTAAAGTCCTAATTGAATGAGACAGAGATAGAGAGTGAAGCAGAGTGTGAGACAGGAAAGGAAGGAAGGAATCATAGCTGATCTTTTTGTGTCCCAATCCCCTCAGCCTTTGTCGGCTTCATTCTGACCTCTGTGCATGTGGTTCTGGTACTCCATCCTCCTGACAAATGTTCTTCTCCTTTGCCTCTTTCTTCATTATTATGCCCTTCTGCTTGTATTTTCAGCACTGAGCCTAACAATGGCATTTGGCTATTTATAGACGCTAGTATTCAAAAAATAACATGCAAGTGTAATTAGCTTAGGAATCTCAGGCCATCGTTATATGGAGTGAATTTTGTTCCATTATTGTTGCAAGTAAATAACATGTTTTGTAAATGTAAGTCAAGAAAGAAAACGCAATCCAGAAATGACATTTAGAAAAATGGATTGGCAGTATTGTTTTTGCTCAGATTTTGTTTTTTCATATATTTTATTTATTCATCAAATTTTACAGTTTCAATTTTTATCTTTATGTTCGGTTTCTGCAACAGTTTTTATATTTCGATTCTGCAACAGTTTCTTCCTCAACGCCATCAGACAGCTGAACTGTTGAAGAAACTCTAGATCATGTCACAGACTCTGCATCAAACTGATAACATCAAATCAAAAATACTGCATATTTGCACCATATATATTAATGCTCTGAACTTCCATATCAATGCATTTTCTTTACCATGTTTTTTCTCCAACACTGTTTACATTTGACTTTGGTGCACTTTATGGAATGAAAATGTTCATTTACTGTCTGAAAGGCTGTACTAAACAAAAGTTTGTTTGGAATACACGCTGTGTATACAAAATGATAGAAAAAGTTGTCTAAGTCTAAGAGAAAAAGGTCAAAGGCTCACTTCAGGATTTATGTTTAAGGTATAGTGGAGGATTTTCACGTATTTATGAAAAAACTCACCCAACATCCTCCACTATACCTTTAAGGAGAATACACCTACAAATAAAGTACAATATACTTCTACAAACTCAAAAATATGGAGCAATATCTCCAGGTAAAACTGTAACAGGCATTTTTTAAATAAGTATGTAAACATGGTCTTTCACTCGTGTGCTGGCAGGGATGTGGCCGTTGCTCTGCTGGCGACTCTTTTTTAGGTGGCTCATCTTCTGAGAGGAAGTTCATCAGATTGTCAGAGGTTTTGGGATATAGCATCACATTTTGTCGCTTATCTTTTTATTCAGGGATTATAAGCTCAAATACATCAAAAGCTGATAGATATATCCTAAAAATCACAATGATAGCAGAGAGAAAGGTCTAGTTATCAAATCATGGTTGAAAAAGAGAAGCTTGAACTACAGACCCATCTCAAACTGCCCCTTCATCAGAAAGATGGAAAAAGTTGTGTTTCAACAGTTAAATACCTTCTTAACAATGACGCTTTAATGTCTTCCAATCAGGTTTCCGTTCCAGCCAAAGTACACAAACTGCCCTGATTGAGGTGTTCAATGACATCCATATAAAATCAGACTCTGAAAGAATTCCGTAAAAATTCAAAAAATATCCACTGGACTTGGTTTCCAAGATTTGAAGACGTTTCTCCACCTCTCCAGGAAGCTTTCTCAATTCAAGTGTCTGGATCCGCAGTGAGTTTGAGTCTTATATAGACAAAGCCTTGTATCGCTTGGAAACATGCAAATGGTAACCGATGAATGGGTCGTTTGGTTCCATCTGGAAACGTCTTCAAACCTTGGAAACCAAGTCCAGTGGATATTTTTTAAATTTTTACGGAATGACTATGACCTGGATGACTGAGAATCTTCATCAGCAGACTCTGAAAGAAACACATTGCTGGTATTATCGGACCTCAGTGCAGCGTTTGATACTGTTGATCACTTGACTTTATTAGAGCATCTGGAATGGTATAAATCCTACCTGAAGGACAGGGAGTTCTATGTGTCTGTAGGGAACAACTAAATCAGAGAGCAGATAAATCACATGTGGGGTTCCTGAAGGCTCCATTCTTGGGCCCTTACTATTTAACATCTACATGCTTAGATTATAGCAGACAACCAGATTAGTTACCATAACTATGCACACGACACACAGCCTTGTTACCAGGTGACTATGAACCCATCAGAGCGTTGGCTAGATGCTTAGAACAGATCAATATATGGATGCACCATCAATTTCTCTAACTGAATAAAAACAAAACTAAGGTAATAATCTTCCGACCAAAGGAAGAGAGATATAGGGTTAGCTCACAGCTTTAGCTACTACAGCTAGAAACTGCTGACTATGTATCAACCTCCCAGACAACTTTTATTTTTATTTTATCGCTATAATAATGTAAAGCACTTTTGAATTGTCTTGGTATTGAATTATGCAATAGAGAGTTAACACACCTTGCCTAAACTATGGCTCCTCCTCCTATTGAAACAGTAGATGACTATCGTTGATAATATTCAAAGCGTGGAGCATGGCCTTTTAATTAGGAGCAAGAAAATAATAGAATGTTTTTTTTGGAATGAGGTGACAATCTATTTTAACTTTGACATGCCTAATATGTTTTTATTTTATTTTATTTCTTCTCTGCCGGGTTATCTGTGGTATTCTTGGCTATTTTAAGATATCTTGTTGAACCCCAAAATCTTTCTATGTACCCCTTTCTTTTAGTAATCTGATCGATCTTTTTAGCACTTGGTCTTTTTGGTGATCACATGTCTTAGGTTTGAAAGTAGATATAGGAACTTAAAAAAAAAATGTATTGAAACAGAGCAAACAGTCTAAAGGGCAGAGAAACTTGACAGTAAATGCCAAAAGAAATTAAGCAATGAAACTAAACTAAATAAGGCAATAGTAATTCAGAAACTCAATTACGTAAGGAGAAGCAGATCAATACAAAACTAATTATCGATCGCTCCTGGAAAAGCAGGGATGGACCGACCGCCATGCTAACCTTTATGGTTTTCTGTCTCTCCTGTTTCTTTTGACAGAAGTGAAGTTCAGCAGTCATAATGGCAGACGAAGCGGACATGCGCAATGAGCTGGCCGACCTGCAGACACGTGCAGACCAGATCACCGATGAGGTACATTTAGACACTTAGTTCACCTTTTTTCTGTTTTTGTCCGAATAATTTTCCGGTGTTCTGCCTGCTCTTAGTGAAAGAAATAAAGTAGATTGAATATATACAAAATTAAAAGTAGATGGTGGGTGTATGGAGGGAATTTTGTTTCATTATTAGTGCAAACAAAAAAAAACATGTTTTTTTAAATGGAAATAAAAAAATAAAACTGCAATCCAGCAATGAAACTTTAAAATTTTCATCAAAAAAAAAAGAAAAAAAATTTTCTTGACATGTAGCTTTTTATTTTATCAAAGGTATTTATTTATTTTTATATTTTCAGATTGAGTTTTATGAATTGCAGTAATTTCAAATAGTGGTTCACAGATCCCGTTCTCTACACCACAACCCCAATGCAAAGTGTCAGGATTTGGTTATGGGTTGAGGACCCAAAAGCAGAGGCAGGAAGGCAGAGGTGAATTGTAAGTAAATTTAATGATGAATTTAAAGAACTGAAAACAGAGGTAGGTTATCCAAAAATCCAAAATGTAAACAAAGTTTAAATTAACAGGAAACCAGGAGATCCATAAAAAAAAAAAAAAAAAAAAAAAGTCAAACGTTACCCAAAAAAACACGGAGTCATCAGGGGAAGAACTGTAACCAGGAGGAAGGCTCAGAGAGACAAGTTGGAGGAAGACAGACAAGGTTAGACGAGGACCCAGCAAACAAGAACTGAAGAGGGAGAGCATTTAAAGGAGACTGAGACAAAGAGAAGACTAATGAGCAGATTGGGAACAGGTGAGCACAGGGCAGGAGAGGAAAAGAGCTAGGGAAAAAGGAGAACACAAGAGGGCAGCAGAGGGGAACAAATAAAAAACCTAGAAGACTGGAAATAACTAGAAAACACAACAAAATAATATTTAAACCACAAAGAATATAAAACATGGAGTAAAGCAAAACAGAAAACTCAAAAGAAAAACAAAGCAGACCCAAGACTGAAACAGTAACTAAGAATGAAATACAGCAAAAATAAAAATAAAACCACTAAAACTAGAAAACAAGGAGTAAAGAAAAACTGAACACTAAAAAGAAAATATAACAGAACCAAGACTGAGACAGTAACTGAGAAAAACCCAAAGAACACAACAAAATAAGAATCAAACCATAAAAAAACTATAAAACAAAGAGCAAAGCAAAAGTGATCATCAAAAGAAAAACATAACAGAAACAGAAACCTTACATACAAAAATATAAAGGGATAAATGAAAAATGGACAAATGAAAAATAGATAAATGAAAAACAGATAAAACAGAAATTGAGAAATAGATAATCTGAAAAATAAATAAATAAAAAAATTGGCTTAATGAAAAAGGGATATTGAAAAGTGGTTAAATGAGAATTGGATTAATGAAAAATGGGTAAATGGATAAAGGGATAAATGACAAATAGATAAATGAAAAAGAGAAATTGGGAAATTGATAATATGAAAAATAAATAAATTAAAAATTGGTTTAATGAAAAAACTAAATTATTTATTTAACACATTTTTTATTTATTTCACCCATTTATTTATTTATTTAATTTTGGCTGAAATGGCTCTCCATACACTGTTACACACATTGACCAATGAAATACTCTGGCTGCCATCCCTGCTGTTTTAAGTCTAAGGAAGGGGGTGTGGCGCGAAACGTCATGGTGTTGGTGAACAAACCAACTTGAAGGCTATAATTAGTGTTTATTTCATTATCAGCCTCCATGCAGACTAATAAATGCATCTTCAGACTCAATCTGAAAAAATTTAATTTTAAATAACATTTGAAATAATTAATCTGAATAATGAAATAATTAGAAAAAAAAGAAATTTGAATATGAATATTTGAAATATGAATTCAGTAAAAAAAAAATGAATTAAAGAAAATTATTATGGAAAAAGTAAAATGTCTTAAAAACCACAAAGAATTTCTTTCTTAGAAGATCTTTTTTGGAATATATTTCTTTTTTTTGGTCCAAATTACCATTTAAAAAAAGGTGTTTTCTTTTTTAATTCAATCTGCAAAATGTGTTCTTGGAACAACAATGGAGCAAAATTCCCTCCCTGAGGCAGCAGACAATTCTAAATGTGGTCTCCTCTGAAAAGAGCAGTGCTTTGTGACATGCCAGTTATAATTTGACATTTTAAAATGGCCCGTTCTTATAAGGACACACAAATGTTCAGCAAAAGCTCAGAGGCTTTCAGAAACAGTCGCTCTAATAATTCAACGACTCCTTGTTTCAGCAGCTGCTCCTCAAAGGCTCTTTTTTTCTGTCAGGAATGTAAATCCTTGTAGGTGGGATAAGAAAGAACTTTGGCCTCTTTAATGAGTTGAGAGGATTTCAGGAAGAAAAGATATTTCAGTGCATCAGAATAATAGGTTGGCTTAGATGGACGTATTAAACATTTATGAGGAGATAATGCAGAGCCGAGCGAGAGGCGGCCATAGATGGAGAAAATGGTTTAAATGTTAGAGAGGCAGAGGAGGATACGCTAGATGAGAAATTCTGAGGGAAAAGAGGTATCAGGGCTTAGAAATGCAAGGAATTATAGCTGAAGAAATGATTTACTTTGGAAAAGATCCTGGAGGATTAGCTAAAGAAAGGTAGAAATCACTCAATTAACCTGTTGGACAAGAGATGGTGAATAACCCATCTTAATTATATCAGGAGATCTGTCCACATCATTTATTTTTCTATTCTCCAGCTTATTACCAAAGAGTCTTAGGAATTTATCTTTTTCCAATAAAAGTCTTTGAGATGTCCTTAAGATCTTCATTGCAGATCCTGGAATGTGCATCTCTGTCTGCTTTTTGGGCTCTCAGCTAATTTGTTCTTTGTGTGTTTGCAGTCCCTGGAGAGTACTCGGCGTATGCTGGCTCTGGTCGAGGAGGTGAGTCCAGTCTATCAGGAACATGCATCTGTTGACATTTACAGAGAATTCGATAATCATCAGTCGTAACATTTTCATTTCAACTTTTGCAAATGTACTACGGTCCTATAATATGCCGTACTTCAGCTCTACATGTTAACTAGATTTCTAGTTAAAGAACATTTCAGCAGACATTTCTACAAAAGATAACATTATTTTGTCTTAAAATGCATGAACATTGCTATGCAAGCCAAAATAAGCTGATAATACTGCATATGGAGGGTCAAATATCTAATAAATATATATATATTGTAATTAATAAAAGAAATACATGTACCATGAAATAAAGTAGATGTAACATTTAGTTTTCTAATCTACATATCATTAAATTATAAAAACTAATACATTTTCGATTAAATAACATCAGACAAAATGTTATTAAAATGGGCAGTTTAGTGGTGCTGTCTTGTAGCAAGAAGGTTTTGGGTGGATATCCGGTCCGGGGTCTTTCTGCAGGTAGTTTGGATGTTCTCCCTGAGCATGCGTGGGTTCTCTCCGGGTACTCCGGCTTCCTCCCACAGTCCAGAAACATGACTGTTAGGTTAACTGGCTTCTCTAGATTCTCCTTATGAGTGTGTCTGTGAATGTTTGTTTGTCCTGTTTGTTTCTGTGTTGCCCTGTGATGGACTGGTGGGGGTGTGCCCCGCCTCTCGCTCTCATTCACACCTCGCCAACACACGCTGGGAGAAGAGGGATGGAAAATGGATAGATAATTGAAAACATATGTAAAACTATGAATGAATTTTGAAAATGTAATAAGAACATGCTACCTTGAAAATTGAAATAATGTCTTCACTTTATAAATTGAAGTCTGTCTCCGGCCCTTCCATAGCGTACCATCTGTCACCCAGTAACCGTGACAGTTGACACACAAAGCAGGCAAAGAATGGATGCTGAACTTCTTACTACTGTTCTGGATGTTAAAAACATTTTGGAGGAGCTTCAGCAGCAGTACCGTTGTCTCAGATATCACAATTATAATCCCCACACTGCAGAAATATTGGAATCTGAGCTTAACTTTCAGCCAAACCCGTTTTCACAGGGACACATAAAATCTTTCAATGAACCAAACATTTCCCGCCACAGATATGACATAATTTCCATTTACAACAACTATTTTTATTAATTTCAGATGGAACTATTCACATACTTGTATTATATTAAACTGTACTTCCAATATTCACCACTGTTCTGCGCCAATACCTTGTTCCTCTGAGAGCGGAGCAGCCGGCTTGCTTGGACTCGCAGTGAATCACGGGATACTCTAGGCTACGGAGGATACAAAGGACCGGTCCTTCAAAAACGGGCAAAAAGGAGGCTGCATTTGTCGGCCACATAACGAGGAGTCTTCCATTCCAAACACGGCACCCGGCTATGATGTAATCTGCCGAGGAATCCGGCCTTCGCAGGAAGCAGCTGCTAAACTCAGCAACTGTTTCTATCGCTGCAGAATCCATTTGTGTCTACGTTTGCATAACTAGAAGTAAATATTTTGCACTTTTAAAAGTTGTAGGGAAGCGACTCTTCCAACGGTTGCAGTTGGAGTCTCCCGAGTGGTGCACGACTTTACACGAGTGAATAAAGTGAATGTGATTGGTCGTTTCACGAGGGGGGCGGGATTGTTCTGGCAAGTAAGTTTAGTTGTGGCTGGTTTATCGGAGGTCGTGGATGAGTCTCCTCCGTCATCCATTTTTTATTTAGAGGAGGAAAGCGGGGACGAAGATGTTGTGGAAGAGGACGCCAGGGCGGCAGAAGCTTGGTTTGGTGTAGAAGGCTTCCAGCCGTCCATGTTTGAGCCCTTGCCTCGCAACGCTGCCAGTTCTGTTAGCTCTACGCCTGCCGAAGACACAGACGTCCATCCCCGTGAACACTGGGACGCAACTCAATGGCAAAGGAAATGATTCTGATTTCTTATTTAAACCGTTGCGTATATTAGCTGCAACATATTAATTAAGATGCTATGACAAAAAAAATTTGATTGACAGATGACCGTTGATATATGATTGGCTGATTTTAGGTGTACAAGCTGACGTATAACGAACTGGCCTGCATAAGATAATGAAAAAAAACCACAGATTGTAAGACAGGACTTTTTTTTTTTTATAGAAATTTTCTAACTTTTGGGACAATATGGTCTGATAAAGAGAACATTTATATACATGTTTGAGCCAGAATGATTTGACATTTAAATATGACTTCCTTATGACTTTAACTATACAAAACAATTATTTATATCCCTTTTTCAGAAAAAATAATACTTTTAATCTGCACTGTTTATTTAGTATTATTTTAGAAAATTGATTGCTTATAGTTGTAGCTTATAACCTTTAACTACTAGTTTTTCAGTTTTTTTCATTTTATATTCCTAACAGTTCTGTATGTTGGACCTCTTGTTATTTTCATATGTGAAGCTCTTTCAGACACATAACCTTAATCCAGCCTCTGGACAGGCTTCTATCTTTTAATACGACCAAACAGCAGATAGAGTGATGAACCAAGGCCTGCAGCCAACCTGAACCCTTATCTCCACCAGAGATAAGGCTTTTCATTTACTGGATGAATATCCGACCTTTCATGATAAATAATGCTGAGAGAATCCTGCTTATTCCTTCCTAAATGTCCTGAGATTTGTTGAAGTTTTTAGTGCTATTTTTTTGAGAATTTTGAGTATTACTTGGAGTCAGTAGTTTATACATCTGTCACAAAGCAGCTCTGCAGATGGCTTTCCTACGTGCAGGATACTCTGGGATACCCTTAAACACGTGCTGGTACACTGTGACCGCTGCTCAGAGGGCTTATAGTGAAGCTTATGCTAATTGAATAAGTTGGCAAGCGATCAGAGCAGTGAAAGCACTCTGGTTCTGTTTCCTCATGTCAGTTCTGTTTGTTTAGGCCTGGCATAGTTTACTTTAAATCCAACCTGTTTTTAAATAAAATATCTTAGAAGGATTAAAATCTGAGGATTCACAATGCCGGGTGAAGAACTGATACACTTTACCTGTGCTTTACTAAAAAACACAAAGTGTACTGACAATTATGTTTTGTCTGCTAAAAGCAAAAAAATATATATTTTTTTCTGTTATATATCTATAAAGACTTTTTTCAAGTTCAATATTTTCACAGCCACCTCAGAGATAGTTGGTTTTTTAACAAATTACAATTTCTTCTATGATGACACATTTATCTGTGTTCTTTAATTAAAAACATATATATGGTAAAAGCCTCACTTCAGGAAAAAAATAAAAAATAAAAAAAACAGGTTTAGCTCATGGAAAAAAAGTAAACATTTTCTTCTCTGATCTTTGAAATGTTGAACTGGTTGCTTTATGCATGAATGGTTCGAGCTAATCTGTCATTTTGCTGCTGGAAGCTCAGGACACTCTCTGTCATGAGAAGATTATCATGCCTGTGAGCTCCACAAGTGCAGGAAAGTGGATTTTATAACCTTTGAACCTAGATGGCTTCGTGTGTGCAAAGGGGAATTCTTTTAAGCTCTTGTTTTGTTGCTGTATTAAGATCTAATTTGTTTACAGGATTTGATCTAAACTCTTGCATAGTATTTTTAAACTTCTTTCTCAGATTTTACATTTTTTTTCTTTTTTTTTTCTTTTTCAGAAGAGTTTCATAAATTGTGTTCCTTTCAAATTGCGTTTTACTGATCTAATTCCCTTCACTCCAAGCCCGGTACAAATGTCGCTAACATCCATGCAGACCAATGCGTCCTCCTCCTCACTCCGTCCCATGATGTGATCTGTAAAACATAGTTTTAAAGTCGTATGGAAGTCATATTTAAATGTCAAAGTTAGAAAATTTCTTAAAATCATATTTTTTTCTCGTTATCTTCTGCAGGCCAGTTAGTTCTATGTCAGCCTGAACACCTAAATTCAGCCAATCATATATCAACAGTCATCTGTCAATCACATTTTGACGATCAAAGCATCTTGATTCCCATGTCGCAGCTAATATAGGCAACGGTTCAAATAAGAAATAAGAACAATTTACTCCCATTGAGTTGCGTCCCAGTGTTCACCGGGATGGACGTCTGTGTCTTCGGCAGGCGTAGAGCTAACAGAACTGGCAGCGTTGCGAGGCAAGGGCTCAAACATGGACGGCTGGAAGCCTTCTACACCAAACCAAGCTTCTGCCGCCCTGGCGTCCTCTTCCACAACATCTTCGTCCCCGCTTTCCTCCTCTAAATAAAAAATGGATCGACCCCCTTTGATCGACCCTTGTTTATAGATGCTGGAGATCGGCCTGTTTTCCGGTGTGGTCCTGTTTCTCTGACCATGAATGAGTGGATGTGCTCTCTTCATCCTCTGACATGGGAGCTGCCTTGTAGCTTGTCTGCTTGGCTGTGTGTTTCCTGGACGGGGCCGCCTTTTACAGCTGCTTTTTGTGTCTCTGCTTCTGTCTCCTTGAACCCCAGTCGGCCTCAGCAGATGGCCGCTCACACTGAGCCTGGTTCTGCTGGAGGTTTCTTCCTGTTAAAAGGGAATTTTTCTTCTCCACTGTCGCTACAAGCATGCTTAGTTTGAGGGATTGTATTTGAATCAATGATTCAATGAATCAACTGGTTTTACTTAGATAGAACACTTTGTATCAATTTGACTGTATGATCTGGTTGAACTGTAAAGTGCCTTGAGATGACATGTGTTGTGAATTTGGCGCTATAAAAATAAACTGAATTGAATTGAACTGAATTGATAATTGACCAATCACATTCACTTTATTCACTAGTGTAAAGTCGGGCATCACTCGAGAGAATTCGGAGTTGTGTCATGATTGATTTAAGTGATCTGACCCAGATGCAGAGAACCACTCAGAGACCAAGGAAAAACGTTTTAACAGGTTTATTAAATGTAGATGAAATACCGAAGTTGGATCTGGAACTCAGTGGACTGATGAACCGGAACTGGAAAGTCTGAAGGGGAGATCACAGTGATCAGTTCAGGGACCGTAGGAAATTTGACTGAGGCTTGAATATTACAGGACAGGGACTTATGTTAGAGGGGGCTCTTGTCAATCCTTGAATCCAGCTTGTGGGGGTTAATCCAGAGAAGAACCACCTTCATCCAGGGATGCATGATTCCCAGAAAGAGTGGCAGTAAAACTCAACAAATGTGTCTACTGATTGTAAGCAAAATCAGTTTTATTGACTGAACGTAGAAACAAACAATCCAAAAAAAAAAAAAATCCAAAGAGAAAATTTAAGAGTGCAAGCTGTGTTTACTTTTAAAGAATGACGGTTCGCTTTAGAAAAAGCACCGGCATTAAAAGCAAAGAAAAAATGTGATTCAAAATAAATCCATAACAAGGTGCTTTCATGTTCATATTCTTGTATGATTATTTAAGGACAAGACCAGGTGACTCAGTGTAAGGTGTGAAAAAGACCTGAATGTGTGTGTGTTGGGCGTGCTGGCTGTACATAAATGAGTGATGCCACCATAGAGGATGCCAGCTGGCATAGTCAGATATCCTGTCCTGTAGTTTTGAAAAATCACAACCTGTCTACCTTTAATACCTGTAATTTCCTATGATTCTTTCTTGATAAGCAATCATCAATTGCCTCTAAAATTATTCACAAAGACAATTTATTTTCTGAATTTAATTTTCAGTCTTCCAGAAAGACAAATCAGTCACCAAACCCCATAATTATTTTTATTTATTCTATCCTAAGACAATCAGCAGACTTAAAAAAAAAAAACCTCATATATATCTATAACTGTTCTAAGAAGGTCATTTCACATTTTGATGAAAATTAAGTCATGCATGAACTGAATGGCCTCAAGATTTCAATATCAGCAATGAGAAAAGAGCCCAGAGAGAGAAAAACTGTTGTTTAGTGATTTGCATGGTGGTTAGCGCAGTTATCGTTTGCTCATTGAAGTGTGTTATTAGATGATGACGCTCGTGCAGAGAGAAACAACAGCATGGACACGCTGCAGTAATGCGTTTTCATTGCAACCTGTCTGAGTCATCATTTCAGAATATTTTATTCCTGATGTATCTGACTCTCTGGGAATGCAACAAATCATTTAAAAATTTAATTTTAGCCCAATAATGTCTGCAGGAACATGTTGGATTAATACTTATGTCCTTTTCTACTCCTCTGAATATTCAAGAATGGCGCTTTGGAGCCTGTTTGCTGTGCAAAGCCATATATTGTTGAGGCCCCTGGTGCCGCACAATGGCAGCCCACTGCTCCCCAAGAGGATGGGTTAAATGCAGAGAGTTGATTTCATTTCTCTGTACTTGTGACAGTTTAATCACTATAAAACGTTGGAAAAGGAATGCTGTTAGCAAGGTGGCTAATGTTTGCACCCTTCCAGCGTTGACAGCCATACAGGAGGAGGACTAAAGGAGCGCATTGTGGGGAGCGGGCTGCTGGGGATTTTGATGGTCCAATCACTCTCTGGATTTTACATCAGGATTTTACTGAAGCCCAACGCAGATGAAAAAAGTCAGATTTTTCTAGCCGATTACTTCTTTAAATCTTCACTTTAAAATCAGTTATATCACTATAACGCCATAACAAGCATTTTCTTGATAATTGCAGTCACTTAAACATCATGAACCTAAATAAAAGAGAAATCGAAGAACATGAAATGTTTTGCCCTTCAGAAGGGTCCCAACATTTTTTCGAAAATCTTTAATGTCAGCACTTCCTTCAATAAGGCTGTTTTTTTTTTGCGGGATCAGCTTTATAAATGTGATTTCAAATGTAATTTAAGCAGCCTTTGCTGCCTTGATAGATCTGCTCCGTTTTGCTTTGTTGGCCTTTACTCATCTTTCACTTTTATTCCTCCTTTTTGTCTTTCTCTCTGTTCCTTTCCACCCTGTCCGGACTTCTCCATCTGTCCGTCTGTTAGAGTAAAGATGCCGGCATCAGGACTCTGGTCATGTTGGACGAGCAGGGAGGTAAGTCCAGAAGGAGAGATTACTGAACGCGGCTATTTTGATCGAGTCTTCCCTGCTCCTGATTCGCTCTCCCTGCCTATACATCAATCAAAGCACTAGAATATAAAATACATTAGATTCATTTTATTTCCTCTGCAGTTATTATGTGGAGAGCAAACATTAACCAGATTCTGTGCTAACATGACAAAGAAGATAATCCTGCATGTTGCTGTGGGTCTGCTTCAAGCAGACAAAATGCTCCATATAATCCTAGATTCTCAGCGATCACAGCTCCTGTCAGGACATTCTTTAGTTTTAACCATCAGTTAGATTTGCAACATCAAAGATATATTTATAAATCTGTATTTATTAAGTCATATCAAAACTATGTATAGTTTAGGATGAGTTGTTTGACCTTTTTGGTGATTGGAAGTCAGTAAATTTCCGCTTCCACTGAATTGGATTTTTAACCATTTAACCTAACTATCAGAATCTTCTTTTTATCTCCATCTTGAGCTAAGCTGTGGCAGCTGTTTCAACTGCTAAACATTGTTAAAATAAATGAGAAAGATCCATCATCACTAAATGATGTGCCAGTTGTGCAATCATCCATTTATTACGGAGCACACATGGACCAGCATGTTAAACCCAACTTATATTTACATAGAATGTACAAAGAGATTTATTTTATTGCATTATTGTGGTTTTTTAGTCACATATTGTCTCCTTTGCTCTCTAGTCTCTTGTGTTTTTTTTTCAGAATTTCAGCACTAAACAGCTGATTCTTCATTATATTATGTGTAGAAACACTGATTCCACTTTGCAGATTAGATTATATTTTAATGCCTAATTGTTGTGTTGGATAGATTCATAATTATTTCTAAGTACTTTAAAATGACAAAAACAACAATACATCTATGAACAAAGCAAACCTGAGACTCTTTGAAAACTTGTTAAGCAAACAGGGCCTTGCAAATATGACCTCAGGTCGCTTGAACTTTTTTGTCATATAACAACCACAAACTTCAATCTATGTATTTTATTGAAATTTTCTGGGATGGACCAACACTGAGCAAACTCAACTTCACATAGGGAGGAGAGGGACACATGGTGCACAACTTAAAAGCTACAAAGTGTGTCTCTTTGACTTCGAAACCAAATTAATAAAATCTGGTGCAACTAGCTGCCTTAAGAAGTCAGCTAATCAGAAATCACTTTACTTGCATATACATATGTGTAAACATAATTCTATGAACATCTCAGAAGTTTGTTTTAAAACCAGTGAGAAAACAGACTCACTGTGATTAAAAAAAGGTTGGGAAAGGAGAGAAATTGTTCACGGTTACTCTGGCGAGCTGCAGACATCCATCGCTCATATATTCATTAGAAAGTCAAAGTCCAGCCTTCCAATCCATATTAAGGCAAGAAAATCAGTGTTCAAGTTCTCAATGCTTAAGCTACTGTATCTAACTTAGAAGAAAAAAAAAATTACTCTTTAATGTGCAAAACGAATGTAGACCTTCCCCAAACAGCCCTGATTGTGTAGCTGCAACGAAAAGCGGTTCTGTAAATTATTGACTCAGACACATGCATTAGCACAAAAAAAAAGGTTACAATGGAAAAGCTATGAATAATTTTTCATTTTCTTATTCACCAATTCCTGTTGGTCAAATATTAAATCCCAATTAAATACATATGTTGAAATCTTTAGTTGAAGCATAACAAGATGTAGATGGGCTCAAGAAGTGTAAGTTGTTTGAAAGCCACGGTAAATACAGCGCTAGAGATTCAGGATGAAGCTCTTTTGTTCCTAAGTAAATGTTTGTACAGAATTTCAGAAGAAGTGCAAGTTATGTAATTCACATAACTTTTCAAGATTACATGTTTTTGCTACTTTTAGTAAGAGAATGAAAAAAAGATGTGTGCTGCACAAAATAGAAAACAAAATAATACATCCTTTGCAAAAAGGGATGCAAAATGATCCTAGGAGCTGTAGATGGCTTAACGGAACACTGAATGTTTACACTTCAACCACAAACCCTACATTTCAGGTTCAAAGGAAAAACAGACAATAACAGGTAATATGATGATGTTTAGGAAAATCTTCAAAAAAAAAAAGCAGGACTTCAGGCTTTCTGCAAACAATTCATGTAAGATATTATTTGTCAGGAGTTGAAGGAGAAGTTCTTGCTTTGTAAAGAGGTTATATTCATCTATGGCCTATGCCTACCGTCAGGACAGCGTCATAAAAATGCTAGAGCAGATAAAGCTACTATGGCAAGATCCAAACCAAGAAGATAAAAGGTAATCTAAAAATTTTTGCAAAAACGGAGAATAGAAGTAGAATGTAGCAGAGAGAGAAATGATCGTATTATTGTCCTCCAGCAACCTAAGACTATAGCAGCATAATTGTAGAGATACTCCAAGATAACCTCAGTCACTCTAAGCTTTATCAAAAAAGGAACATTTAAACCTAGTCTTAGACATTCACAGCCATGTATTATTTTAAAACTTTACATTAGGCTACACAAATGCAAAGCTTTGAAACAACATTGAGCTCAAAAACTGGAAACCAAGTTAACTTTGGAGTAATTGCATGGCAGTTTGAAGACTTACATTTCAATTTATATCCAGGTTTACATTTAATGACTGATTTTAGTTGATTTTAACACAAAACCACAATCACTTTGTTTTGTTTGTATTCAGATATATTAAAAGACTGGTCCATAGTGTAGTTATATATGTTTGCAGGGTGTTTGTGTTTTGCTCTGTGCCTGACAGAGCAGCCTAATTGGCCTGTCACGGCAAAAGATAGCGTGTTATCCTCCTCTCCCTGCTTCTTGTTTCTCTGTGAAACTCCTGCAGAGTGCAAAGCTAACTGTTATCACAGGTCACGAATCAATTCTTAGACATAATTCCCTACACCAATCTAGTATTTCTATACCTGACTTCAGCCTTAATTCCAATCTTTGTCTTTGTTTCTCTGTTTTATGCGGTTTGATTTTTTTCTGACTTTTTCTCCCTCTTTTTTGATTATTTTTTTCAATCTTGATGTGACACTGTCTGCAATAATGATGTCACTTTTTCCAATCTGCTAGAGGTTCTGTTTGATTTGGCCCATTATTTACTTCCTGTCATAGGGGTAAAAAAACCTTGTAAAAGCTTGCCAAGCGTGTCATCATTAATACAGTCTTGTTGGCTTAAAGGCAGGGTGTGACTAATTCATCTGCCCTATACAAACAAGAGTGCACGCACACACAAAGCTCACACATAGGAAGAGATGTATCACTCCTCCCAGTGATCTATTACCTGTGGTGGAGGGGTCTCAGATGTTATTGAGCCTTTGTTCGTACATGCACGGTGACCTACATTTGAACAGGAGTGATAGCTAATGGATTGTGACTCTGATTTATAGAGCCCCTTTTAACATTTTAATAGGCAATTCCAAAATTCAATAATTTGTTCTCTAAAACTCCAAATTATGATTCTTATTTTTTTTTAAAACAACTGCACTCCAGTTGTTTACATGGGATAATATATTGCTAATTTAAAATCTTAAACCTTTCTATTAAAATTTCCTATTTAATTTAACTTAGTTCCATTCATTTTATTTATACAGCAGTTAACTCACAACACATTAACTCAATTACTACACAGAGCGTAGGACTAAGCACTGAAAAACAGGTCCAACTCTTTCATCTGTACCATGAAGCTGTTGATACCAGCAGCCCAGTTGATGGATTCCTCAAGGACAGTGTCACAGCTACACAGAGCAGCAGGCCAGATGAAGCTACTGTAAAACAGAACATAAAAATAGAATTTAAATGATCAGATATTGAAAAACAGGAAAAAGAAGTGTAAGAAAAGATGGTCCCTATATCCTCCAGTACACTGAGCCTATAGCAGCATAGCTGTAGAGATAGCTCAGGATAACTTAATCTACTCTAAGCTTTATCAAAAGGGAGAGTTTTAAGCCTAGCTTTAAAAGTAGACAGGATGTCTGCCTCAAAGACTAAAAATGGTAGTTGTTCACACAAGAGAGGAGCCTGATAACTAAAAGATCTGCCTCCTGTTCTTATTTTAGAAATTCTAGGAACCACTAGTAAACCTGCAGATTGAGTGCTCTGTTAGTAACATAAGGAACCCTTAGAGTTCTGTTATGAATACATAAAAATTGAATCAAAAATTCTCAACTCAGTCATAGTCTAAACACGAATCAGTATGAATTAATTATATTTCGAAGAATACCAATAATCTTATTTATAATGAAATCAATCTCATTTCTACAGAATCCCACAAAGTCATTACTGCTGGTTTACTCTGTGTGACGTTGGCCACTGACTTAAGTAGAAGCCACTTATTCTTCTTTATTATAAAGAGAAATGTGCTGCAAAGGATCACTGTATACAAAAGTAGTAAGTTTCCAGATTAAGTATGATTCTAGATGTATAGATCACAATTATCTCTCCAGTTTCCTAGCTTTGAGCATTAAAGTATGTATCTTAGAGGTAAACAGTAAGTTCAATCATTTTCAGGTAGCGGTTGGTGGCTAAGTTTTCTGATGCAACAGGTAGTAAGAAAATAACACAACAAGAAAATCAATTTGTGAAGTGAAAGAAATGACTTGGCAGTGTTTTTCTGTAGTAGAGATAAAACTTTAAAAAAGCACAGATTCTTACACTTTTTGTAACTCATTTTCTGACAATGATCTTCAAAAGCAAAACTTACATTTTGGGGAGGAGAACTCGGTTAAATAAAACTCTAAAGGAAAATTGTAAAAATCAAAAATGGTTAGTTAGGACTTATGTTTTCCACAAACAACACCATATGTCAGCACAAGATCCAAAATATGAAGTTAAGAATGCAAGGGTCTGTGTACATTTTGAGGGAAGCCAACTGAGTAATATTTCTGGCTGCTCTACCCACCTCTGCTTGGACACACAACTTAATGTTAGGTTTTTATCTTTTCAGGCTTTCATTTTGCAGCTTTGTTATATTATTGGCATCGTTTAGTCCCTTGCTAAGTATTCACAACTTTAGAACATTTTCCTATTTCTTGACATTTCAGTCACAAACCTCAATGTGTTTTAATGAAATTTTAGATGAAAGTATTGAGTATTTTTTATATAGAAAGAAATTGAAATTTTATAACAAACTCTGAAAGGTGTGGTGTGTATTTCCAACATAATATTAGTACAGTTCCAGCCAGCTGCTCTTTGATGGTCTCAGAGAGAATGAACAGCATAATGAAAAAAAGGTACACCTTTGACAAACTTTAAGATCTAAATTTAAAGTGTTTATTTAAGAATTTCAAAAACTGAACTAAAACACAGCTTTGGAAATCTTACAAAGACTGTATTTCCACATACTCTTTGTCAGTTCCAGAGGAAGAACATCTCAACTCTATTAAGTCAGGCTTGCTCCAAAGTCTGACCTCTATGGAAGAATTATTCAAATAAAGCCTGAGAACAAATCCTATTTGCAGTTCTTTACATCCCTTTGGTGACTCAAACTTATGAGAGAATATTCTCGGGTCAAATAGGACCAAAATGGAAAAAAAAAGCCATCATCTAAAAGGCTTTGTGGCTAAAAACATGTTATCCTCAGCACATCATCTCTACTGTGAAAGATATGCTCTGTGAGGGAGTTTTTCATCGGTTTAAGGTGTGAAGTGGATCAGATTTTAATGGAAGCTGGGTGGAGCTGAATGCAGGACGATAATGGAAAAATAAGCGTAATAGAATGGTTTGAATGGAAGATCAATCATTTGTTTCAATGGCCTAGTCATAGTCCAGCTTTAAAGGTGCTACATCATACTTTTATTATGCCATCCAAAGTCAACTCTAGGCATATCTATGATGAAATGTAGCTTTTTTAACCAAAAAATATACATTTTGTGATAAATTGCTCATTTCCCGGGGGGATGGGTTCAAGCCAGAGGAAAGATGCTTTGTTTTCTCCTTCGCATAAGCCATCAATAAGCCAAAGAGCTACATGGGCTTGCTTGTGCACCATCAAATAACTTTCAAGACTGCTTGCATCAAAAATTTAGCTTATTGTGGATGTCAACAAGGTGTATCAGCATCATAAATTTGCTCTTGATGAAAAGCTATGCTATACAGTTATGTTGTGAGCATTTAGCTAGCGCTTTACACTTGAACAGCACAAAGTCTGTTAAAATTATTGTTTTTCCTGTCAATCAGCTGCTTCCATGGAGGATATTTTGTCATGTTTAAGGACTAAAACACGTCATAAATCTACTTTGGTTTCTAGCAGAGTTCTTGAAGCTATCCGAACCAAAGTGCAGGTCACATAGGAAAACATCCTTAAGTGTCCATTCCAAGCTCCAATATAAAAATGCAAAACATTTTGTTGTGTGATTTCCCCTTAAGGTAGTTTGTAATTGTTTTGGGATTATTACATCCTCTTGGCGTGTTCCTAACTTTGCCACGCCAACTCCTTTTAGAGCTGTTAATGGAGCCGTGAAATAGAGGAAACTATTGTTGAGGATGGAACAAACGCGGCCGAATGATTTAAACAATACATCTACATTAAGTTTTATGATGCAAAAATAGCATTTTAAAGAGATTTAAATCCTAAAAAATAGTTTCTTTTGTATGATATAAGCCCCTTAATTCAATTCACAAATGTATCTGAATTCTTGAAAAAAACAAAAAAGATGTATACAGTCTTTCTATCCAATCTGACTAAACTTTAAAAATTATGTACTGAAAATAATTCCAGTAGAATGGTTTTAGAAGGTATTTATTTAAGAGGGCTGAGAGTAAATGCACACCACACTATTCAGGAAGCCAGATTTATTGTCTTTCCTCGTCTGTATAAAAGTTCACTGTGAATGAAGGCGATTGACTGATTCTACTTCACAACCAACTGCTACGTTTTGTTGATTTATCACATCAAGTCCCAATAAAATAGTGATAAAATAGTTAAGAAATTGTTATTTACGGTATAGTTTATTACATATTGAAATAAAATAAAGATCTACCCCTTTCAGCAAAGTATTAACATTAAACTAAGAGTCATTTTAGTGATCAACCTTACCACACAGGCGTTTAGGGATAAACTGGTTTGGCTCCGGTTTGCTGCCTGAAACTGTCTGGATTAGGAGAGGAAGTGGAGTGACAGGGTGGGACAAAGGCAACAGAAAACATGAGTATACCACCATGTTTAGGCTTAAAAAAATTAAAAAGTAAAAGCTCTGCTTTGTTTATTCTTTCACATAAATTGACAATGTAAAGAAATACATTAAAGTTTCTAGTTCTCATGAAACAAACTGTGGAAAAGTTTTAAAGGTGTGAATACTTTCTCAACACAGCGTATAATAGAAGCTCTACCTGTCGCTCAGACTATTTCTGTATGCTCCGTTTCTTCAGATCTACTTTCTGCTTATTAGTGTTTGAGATCTTATTTCACCTGCTTCAGCTGTTAAGCTTTAGCTTATTGAATTAGCCATGAATTCATCCGCAGCAGTGAAGCAGTTGAAGTGGAAGAATAACCCTCTTTATGTACAGATGCACTTCTGGAGGAGGCACTTACCTGCTGCCTCTCAAGAAAATCAAAAATATCCTTTGGAATGGAGGTAGGTATGGGGGGAATTTTATTTCATTATTTTTGCCAGCAAAGAACAGAAAATAGAAATCCAGATATAAAACTTTGAAAATCCTTTTAATCAAAAAGAGGTTTACTGGTTTCTCTGAGTTTTGTTTTTTTTCCACGTTACCTTTTTTTTTTTTTCAGATTGAATTTTAAGAATTATATTATTTTGAATTTGGTTTTGTAGATCATAAATTCTTCAGTCCAGACCCAATGCAAACGCTTTATCTTAAATAGTTAAAATGTTGCTACGGTCAATGTAGACGAATAGAAAAGTTTCTTTGATCCTCAGTCCAAGGGGAAAGCCCGCCCCCAAAAGTGAAAATAATGCGATATGTAAAACTCAGTTTAAAAAGAAAGCAATTTGTAAAACTTAAACAAAATAATAATAATATGGAAATATGAAATCAGTAAAAAAAACGTTTCTCTCTCTTTTCTCTTTTTTTAAATTAAAACATTTGTCAAAGTTTAATTTCTGGAATGCTAATGAAGATTCTCAGTCATCCAGGTCATAGTCATTCCGTAAAAATTCAAAAAATATCCACTGGACTTGGTTTCCAAGATTTGAAGACTCAATTCAAATTTGAATTGAGAAAGCTTCCTGGAGAGGTGGCGAAATGTCTTCAAATCTTGAAAACCAAGTCCAGTGGATATTTTTTGAATTTTTACGGAATAATTTCTGGAATGCATTATTTAAAAATTTCAATTTACAAAACACGTTCTTTGCTTGCAAAAATAATGTAACAAAATTCACTCCTCAGGAAGGTAGAAAAAAAGAGTTTCTTGCAAATGAACAGAAGATTCTCTATGTTGGAGTTCATTTTGTTGGGATAGATATGAGGTCATCTCAATCCTTGCCGCCCGCTTTGCCTTCTGCATTTAGTCTCTTCGCACCATAGAGCGCCAACTCAACGTAAAACCAGGCAGCTTCATTTCACTGCTCTCGTGCCTCTGTCCTCACCAGAACAACTTGATCGTGTGGAGGAGGGCATGAACAAGGTGAACGCAGACCTGAAGGAGGCCGAGAAAGATTTAAAAGATATAGGACAGTGCTGTGGTCTGATATGCCCATGTGTTAAGAAGTAGGTACCGGCCAGGAGCCTCCAGCTCTTGCCTGTCCAGTGCTGGTGGTGGTGATGGTGATGTCTGATGTCTCTCTTGTCACAGTCTATGTCTTTTTTGTCTCCTCTCCTCCCTCCCTCCCTCCCCTTTACTCCCCTCTCTGTTTTTTTTCCCACCTCTCTTCTCTTCTTATGTGCTTTCGTTCTTGTGATGGGATAAATGACAATGTGTTGCTAATCAGAACAACTGGAGCGCATCGAGGAGGGGATGGACCAAATCAATAAGGACATGATGGATGCAGAAAAGAATTTGAACAATCTAGGACAGTTCTGTGGTCTATGTTCATGTCCCTGTAACAAGTAGGTGCTGCATGTGTCTCCTGACTGCATGTGTTTCAGTGCCTGCCTGCCTGCCTTTCTATCCATCTGCCTGCTTCTGGTGTGTAGAATATGGTCATTTGTGTTGTGGGCATTTAGACATGAAGCCACAACAATGTCTGAACAGGCATGAGCACAGCATGCACACGCACATGTATGTGTTTGAACTGAAACGAAAATGGTGAAGCATGTGCACAAGAGTTTTGCTTTGTTATTTTGTTGGCCGTGCATTTTCTTTACAGTCTCAATGGCATCTGCCACCAAAAGCTCTTCATTCCACAGTGGATGAAAGATTCCCTTCCAGCAGGTAGCAGCATCAGCAAGGATCTCGAAAACGGCTCCAACTAAACCTTTCAGTCCATCCTTCACTGTTACAGCTTCCCCAAAACACTATGCCTCTGCATGCTGTGTGGAGGCCTAGCAAAAAGAAAAAACAAAATCAGTTGAACGTAATTATTTTATTTCCCCCTAAAGGCTCAAAGATGTTTAATTAAATAATGTTTTTTGCAAAATCTTTTATTTAATACCATTTGGTGTTTCTTCTTTAGGTGATAATAAATTGCCAGCGTTAAAGCTCCAGTTAGTATCTGATGTTTGAAATGTTCACAATTATTTTGATCATGCAGAAACATGTGAATATGAAAGGGACAATTTATTTTACTGTTGCACAGCTATTTTTTTGTTGTTTTTGTAAAGCTAAAGGAATTTCTACCTTTCAATTTCAATCACGTTTGTTCGGTTTTACAGATGCATCGTTAAAGATATTGTTTGAAACTCAAATATTTCAAAAGACCAATAACAAAAAGAGCCCAACAAAATGCAGAGGGAGGACAAACTGTAGAAGGTGTCACAGAAGAAAGGCCCTTTGACGGAGGTTAGCAGCTGTCTCCATTGATAATTATGGAAAGTTGAGTGAAAGGAAAAAAACATTGCAGAACCAAATCCTTGAGAGGATTTTGCAAAACTTGATTAACTTCACTAGCTGGTGGTTCAAGGGCTGCCTCACCTAGTGCTGTCCAGTACTTTTGTTGCTTTTCGTATGTCAGGCGAATTCTGAACAAGAGGCGACATAAGGAGCGTCTTACAATGGCAAAAAGCTTCAAGTCTATGCAAACGAGTAAAAACTCATTTCTAGGCTAATATTTAACCCTTTAAAGCCCGATCCAGGAATAAAACAAAACTGAAAATTGTTTTTTTTTTTTTGTTTGAAGTCCTTATTTGGCCTTTTAACAAAATATGTAAAAAGAAAAACAGAAATACATTTTTGATATTAATAATTTATTACTATGCGATAAGTCAATATTATTTTTAGTGTAGTCTTCTGCCCTCTGTTATCAGGTATATCTGATTGTGTACAACAGGATTTTGAGCAAAGTTTTTACCATTAAATTATGCAAAAGGTGTCAGACGCAAAATATTTCAGAAACCGTATGTATCAAATATGATACATTTGGCATTACAGGGTTAAATATAAAACCTCATGTTTTAGGAATGTTGAGTAATATTCCACTTTTGAAATGAGAAAAAATATGAATTAATTAAAAAGTCTGATATAATCCACTTTCTTGAAAAAGGACCAAAAATGATTAATAATGTTTTATTTTGGGGTAACAGGAAATATTTCTGGACCCCTGAGTTAAAGTACAAGAAGTTTACTAAAATTCATTTAGTTTTACTTATGATTATTAATTTCTATCAAAAGGATCTCTCTTTCATTGCACAATATCATTTGTGAGTTTAGTTAACAAGTTTTCTGAGCTGAAATCTCTTTTAGGGCTTATTCGTAATTTGAAAAGTAAATCCCATATATCTGGTCTTTAAGAGCCAAACTATGGTGTCTGAGTCATGTGTGTTTATTTTATATCTGGAGAGCAGTATTCTTTCTCAGAGCTATAGGAAATACAAGTGTCTGTCCAAAAAAAAACCCCCGAAAAAACAGGAAATAGGAGAAATAGACCAGCCTTTAGTGATAGTGTTTTATTTTTTTATTGGGTACATCCCTGTGATCAAAGTTCTTTTTTTTCTTCAGGCAAATTTATAAGTTATTTAATCACTATTCTCCCTATAAGAACCTTTAAATGCAATTTGCTGTGGTTGTTTTTCTTTTGTTTTTTACCAAATGCGATGTAGGAAAATATTGTTTGGTTACTTGACTGTTAAAAAAACCCACTGCAGTGTAAATGCCTTAAAGCTACAGTGTGTAATAATTACAGGGATATACAGTCAGAAATGTAATATATTATACATAACTATGTTATTTATCATCATCTACGAGCTCAGCCTCTTAACCTTAATATTTGCGTTGCCTTAGAATTCGTTATTTATAATTACATAGGAGCGGGTCTCGCAGCCATGGAGGCAGACATCTTTGCGCTACGGCAGCGCAGAGCCAACAAACTAGCGATTGCGAGATCGGCCATTACGCTCGACGTTGTGGAAGACATTTTGTCCCGTTACGCTCGCCGTACTGTTGGGGGGGAGAAGCGGTGCGGGGGAGATGTTCATGTTGCTGCAGTCTGCAGTCTGGACGTCAGATGTCGCTGAAAATTACACACTGTAGCTTTAACACTGACTGGTTCAATGTGAGTTTTTTTGTTTGTTTTCTGCTACGTATAAACAAAATAATTAATTGTCATATAATAATCAGATTTGAATTCTTCATATCTAATCCAGCTGCTGTTATATTGAATTTTTTTTGTTTCCAAGGATGGATCCTTTCAGCAACATATTAGATCTGCCTGATAAGCAATATATTAAGGATTGGTGTACCACCTGCAGCTCGTTTCCAGGGCTCCTGTTTCTAAGATCTTGTATATTTTATAGCTCTTTGGTCCTTTTTCCCATCACTCACAAATAATGTTACCATTTTTTTTTAAAGTCACATGTTTCATTTATTCTGTACATTTTATATTAGTTCTAACTGGAGCAGCTGGTAGGTGCTACAGGTGTATCTCAATAAATTAGCATAGATTAAAAAAGGTATTTTATTTCAGTGATTCCATTCAAAAGGTTTAACGTGTATGTAATCATAGCAAAACATAAAATAATTTACATTAAACACCCTGATTGTTATGCAGACTGTTTTGCTCAAATTTTTGTCTGGAAATCAAAAGATTTCCAAGTGAGTACTATGGTAGGAGGCTGCTTGTCATGAAATGTTCCTAATTAATCTTCACCGTCATCTGCTAATGGTCTCATAACAAAGTGGAAGTAAATGGGAACAACAGTAAGGTGGTGACAAAGTGACGGAGCGAGAGCAGCTAATGCAGAGGGGGATAGTGTGCAGAGGTCTCCAACTTTCTGCTGAAACAATCTACAATCCTCTAAAAATCATGTTGCTTTCAGATTCGCCTTAAAAACAGTGATAGAGAGCTTCTTGGACTGTATCTTCACAGCCAAGCTGCTGTATCCAACGCATACAAGTGACGGTAGATCATGCTTCTACTGGACTCTGCAGCAGTGAAGGAACATTCTCTAAAGTGGACAATCGTCCCTCTAACATCCATTCTGGGTTTGGTGGTTGCCAGGAGAGCGGTGCTTGTCTGACCTTACTTCAGGAGCTGGAATGGCCTCTTAGTTCCAGTGAAGTGATACCAAGAGGTTCTGGACCACCCCATGCTCCAAACTTTGGTAGGAACAGTTAAAGATGACAAAAGTCTGTAAAGATGCCATGGATTGGTGCCCCACAGAGAGTCCTGACCTAAACCTGATTGACGGTTAGGATGAATAAGAGTGGAGGCTGAAAGTCATCCCTTGTTGTCCAACATCAGTCTATGACCTCGCTAATGAAGTAATTTTCAAAAATTCCCATAAACCTGATCCTAAACCGTGTGGACAGCCTGCACGTTAGAGTTGAAGCTTTTATAGCTGTAAAGGGTGGATCAACGCGATATTGAGCCAAATGGGGGAAGAATGGGAAGGTGCTTACATTCATACAGAGTTTAACTGCATAATTGCTGTGTCCTTGGGGTATTTATACATATTTATTGTTATTGTAATGGTCTACACTATGTTTTTTATCTGAATTTGACCATGAATGAAGACCTTTTTTTAATATTTGCAAACAAATGCCCCATTAAGGAAGGTATAAGGCTGTGCATGTGCTCAGGGGGTAAACAAGGAAGTAATGTTGTTACGCGATAGGAGAAAAGTTGAGAAAATAATAAAGAAAAGTCTAAGACAGTGTGAAATAAATTGGAAAATTTTTTGGATTCAAAAAGAAATACAACTTGAACAGCCCTGAGATTCAGTATGAACGTTAGTGTTCAACTGAAGAGGATACTAAAGCTGCAAGATGTTAAGATGCAACTATAGACTGTAAACTTCCTCATTAACACTAAACCAGGACGTTCAACCTATGTTAGGTAGATGCATCAGTTGTAGCCATCTGGCTTTCTGGTAATTCTATGGTATCATCAGCAGATGGTGCCATGTTTAGTTATGGCTGCTCATCAAGATCGGTGCTGGAATTCTATTTAGGCTCAAAAAATCTAAACCAGGCATGCCAAAAGTCGGTCCTCGAGGGAGTTTAGAGGTTTCTCTGCTTCAGTGCATCTGATTTTCATTGATAGCCGATTAACAGGCTTTTGCTAAATTGAAATCATCAGAATCAGCTGTGCTGCCTCTCAAAAGTTATTTTTGAAAGAAATATATCAGCATATAAAAATAAAATCTAAGTGAAAGTGAAATCTTTAACAAAAAATTATGGTCAAGCGACATACTTGCCTTTTTTTTAAACCAAACTGGAGCGGTCTCACCTCTGACCCCTTTCAGGATGATTGCATCTTTACAATAAATGAGATAATCCATTTCATTGGACGTTTCTATCCCTTTCTAATTTATTTAGATGCACATGCTAAACGAGTTCATTAGATGAAAACAAAGAAAAATGCACTTGCCAATGCCAGTAATTGGATGACATGTTTCCTCCAGTGTAGACCTACATCTGACAGACGTTTAATGAACAAAAAAATATATTAAAAAAAGGGACTGAACTCGCTTGTATCCAAATGAAATGAAGGGCTATTTAGACCTAAAATGACCTCGTTTTATCTTTTTTTTTCCTTTCATGGGTTTGATTTCTATACTGGATCTAACAGCTCAGCTTTCTTTGACAGCTATAGCATGTGTCTGATCCTGTTCCCACTCTGTACCAAGTCTCTGCATGTCTACAGGGGTTCATGTCTGTCTGGTGTGTCTGTGTGTGTTGTCCTCTTTGTGCTAACTGTATTCTGTGTTTGAATTTCTTCTGACTGCAAGCAACACTTCAGCTTTTGTGTTCAATTGATCTGCATGTTGGATCAATTATTTACCCACATATTGCAAATGCATGGAAGTACTGTATACCACATGTGCTTGTCATGCTGCTTCTGTTAGAATCATTAGCTTCATGCCATATTACACACACATATATGTATATATATATATATATGTGTGTTTTGATAGTGAAAAACATGCATGCACATCAACATTTTGACTCAAACATGCTAGTTGAACTCCATAAATGGGGCACGCAGATTTAGGCTAAGTAGTTAACATGTTAATTTTACGCATTCATCAACATCCACATAACAGCCTTCTGGCATCTTCAGTGTCCCTGACTGAAATATGTCTGCACTAGGATAAAGGGCAGTGGTCAGGCCTGGGGATCGAACCAGGACGGAGTGGTGAACAGCCAGCCGGGGGCTCGTGTGGTAGACGAACGTGAACAGATGGCCATCAGTGGGGGCTTCATTCGCAGGTAAACCCCATGCTGTATACGTCTGTCGTTTTGGTTACATTAATAGTGGAAATATATATATTTCCTGTTCATGTGAATAAATGAGATCTTTACCTTAACTGGACAATTGAGAGAAAACAGTTAACTGAGAACTTGTCTAGATCAGGAGTGAACATTGAAACCAAAGGTGAGTCAACCTGAAAAATAAAATCTGTGGTTTTATGAATTTGTTAACAGAAACTACTGTTACTGATTTAGGGCCGGATTTATCAAGATCCAATTTTGCGTGCAGTAATTTGCGCTCGCAAACTGGAATTTTGCGCGAGGGGCTGAACCATGGTTTGCGGGTGATTTAACAAGAGTGATTGCGTAACTGGTGGCAGGTGCAAAACTGTTGGAGACGCCCTATTTAAATGATGGTTTTGCGCGTTTTGTGGTTTGCGGCAAAGTAGTTTGTAGTTTGTACAAACTAGTGCATTAAGAAATTTAAATCTTACAGTGACACCCAACAAAAAAAAAAAAAGAAATATATATTAAGAAAAAACTTTGGCAACCTTTATTCCCTAAGGTGGTATGTGGCTGAATTTCTACTTCACTGCAGTAAAAAAACAACAAAAAAAAAACAGGTATTTTGTATTGGCCTGTAGAAAAATGCACATACCAACTGGCTCACAAGAAGTGACTGTGGATGAGATGACTGCGCGTACGCATCCCCGCAGCATTGGCATAGTGCTCCACAGGCACAGAGGTCCTGGTTCTCCGGTAGGGCGTCAGGGCGACATGGCATTTAGAACGTCGGACAGCACTTCTGAAAAACGAGATTGGGAGATCCCAGCTCTCGCTGCAACCGTACGCTGGAATGACCCAGATGCAAAAAACTGCAATGTTGCAAGGAGTTTTGTGATATCTGGTATTGCGTGGGTCCTCCTTGTGGCTGGCTCCAAATCCATTCGGAGTTCCCCCAACAGCTCCAAAATGGCAATGCTGGATAAACGATATGTTTTGATGATCGTTTCCTCGTTCATTCCAAAAATATTCACACGGAGTGAAAAAATGCGTTCTCTGCGTCTCCTTGCTTCATTTCCATTTCTCCTTCTTGCGACAATAACCGCTGCCATGTGTGCGCAATTACGCATACAGACCATTTGCACCTTCTTTTGAAACGTGTTAAATATAGAGTCAGATACCGTTAGCAAAATTGCTTTCAGGTTTAATAAATCACTTTGCGAGTGCTAAATTAATATATTTACATGTTCTCCTCCCACAAGACGCACTTTTGCGTGTAAACGCCCCATATTGCATATTCATTGCAGAAAAAGTACTAAATGGATAAGAGGCGCTATTTAGCACGTTTTAAAGACCAAATCCTTTTAGCACGCTGTTGATAGATCAGTTTGTACATTTTTTAGCGTGCGCAGTGAAATAGCTCACGTTTTTATTCACGCAAACCTTTGATAGATCCCGCCCTTAGTATCTACTCTATGTATCATGTAAGACTAAAACTGTTAGGTTTGGTGGAGGCTTTAGGGCCCAAATGCAGAGATGAGTTTTGCTGATTTAATTAAGGACTTAATAGCAACTGAGGCAAAAAATCTAGAAAAATACAAAAATACTGAAAACCAAACAAAATCGCGTCAGGGAAAATACACGTGGGGAACAAAAGACGAGGAAGCAACAAAACCACAACAAGAAACCAGCACAGGAACTGTAGAGGTGGTGTATATATGGGGAACGGAACAAAGCACAGGCTAATGAGCTGATATGGAGCAGGATGAATAGGATTAATAAGGACGGAGCCAAGGGGAAGAAACAGGAACAAGGGGAAAAATACAGACAGAAAACAGCTAGAGAGAGCAGAACTCTGACGAAAACTTTAGTAAAACCTCCCCCATTTTATAACCATCCATCCAGTTAATCTGTTTCCGTACCCAATCTGAAGGATCATTGGTGGTTTCATCGGGTGAGATGCAGGTTTCACCCCAGAAAAACACTTTACAAACACAAAATGGACATTTTTTTGAGTGGAGTTTATCTTTTCTTTTTTCTACAAAGTTAAAGAGTGTAAAACATGTCTATCTAAACAAGTCTTAGATCCAGAAAAAAGTTTTTTGATTGAGTAAGAGCAGATTCTGCTAGAATGTTATTCTTCTTTTAATAAAATTCTGCTCAAAAACAGCTGCAATAATCTGTCGGTGCAATGAAATAATTGCACTTGGTCAGACTTCTTGTTTTGAGAATACACGATTTTTTTTTAAAGAAAAGTAAAATATATCTTGAATCAACTATCTTCCCTTGATTCAAGCAGTTACATTTTATCTAACATTATCTTAAAATATATAAGATAATGTTATTTAGCTGCTCAAACTAAGGGCAAATGCATTTATTTTATTTTTCGTCACTGTAAAATAATATGTAACTTGTTAAATGCCAATTAAACGATTTAAACTGTAGGACCAAACTAAGCTTTCTTCTCTGTGTTTGAGAATAGATGACTAACTCTTGTTATCTTATAATATTATGAAAGAAGAATTTATTTCAGTGAAATTTTAAATTCAGTGAAAAACGATTTTATATTCCATAAGATTTAAAAAAAGATCATAACAGGTAAGACAATTTGCCAATAAAAACAGATGTTCTACATTTAAATAATAAACCCTATTATCTTATTTCAAAAGATATAAAATAATGTTATTTACCTGCTCAAATTAGGGGCAAATGCATTTATTTCATTTTATTTTATTTTTTGCTGTGAACCACCTGTAAGTAGACCAAAAGAAGGAACCAAACATTTTCTAAAAAAAAAAAAACTAAAGAAATATATATTGTTCAAACTATGAATATATATTTAATGATTCAAAAACAATTCATGAACCAGAAAAAAAACCAAACCAAATTATCTCATTCAATTTGAATAAAGTTCAGTTCAGAATGACGCTACCTTTTCAGTTATCTCCTTTCTGTAATTGGTGTTCTGCAGGGTAACGGATGACGCCCGGGAGAACGAGATGGATGAAAACCTGGAGCAAGTGGGCGGGATCATTGGCAACCTGCGTCACATGGCCTTAGATATGGGCCAGGAGATAGACACCCAGAACCGCCAGATAGAAAGGATCATGGACAAGGTAATGCATTTATATTAGACATTTATATTTTACATTTTATTTTTATAGAGATAAATTATCTGATTTAACAAATCAACTCAGTAAAAATATCACTATTCTTAAGAGATGACCTAATAAAGTCAGGTTTTATAGAAAATATATGCAATTTTGCTGTTTGAAATTGCATTACTGATTAGGATAATTGCAAATAATCCAATAAATCTAAGCAAAGATGTAGCTAACACGTATAGAGTAATATTCAAATGATGTTTAGCTTGGATTAAGGCTCAACATCCGATTTACTCTAAGTCTAACACTAATGGGTCGAATCTGATTAACATAAATATCTGATCTGTTTATATTTTGAGACACCGAAACCTCTCTCCTTACACGTCTTCACGTCTGTAAAAACTGCCGCTCTTCCCTTTCAGGCTGACTCCAACAAGACTCGGATTGATGAGGCCAACCAACGTGCTACAAAGATGCTGGGCAGTGGCTAAACGGCAGCTCAAAGTGCTCTCATCCCCATTAAACCCCAGTGACACCAACCAAACCACAGGCCCTGCCCCCGACACCGAATGCCGACAGCGGGCGCTGCAAAGTCATGCTTTTTATTGTGATACTGGTAGAAGTTTGCACACATGCACATATCAAACATGGCTTCCCTTCCCTGCTCCTCGCCTCCACCTCCCGTCTGACTCCCCAACCTCGCCGTCAGTGTTGCTCTGGGATTTTACTTCTATGGTTTTGCTAATGAATAGTTCAGTTGAGCATCTTCCACTCCAGTCTTATCCACACTGTAAATAGTCCATCCTTAATGGCTTCTGTGACTTAGATCACTCATCACCTTCTTTTGATTTTTTTTTTTAACTCTTTGTGTAAAATGAACTGTATGTAATCCCCCCACCCCAGATCTCAGTATTCTGTGTATTTATTGGATAGGATGTATGAAGCTACATGCTAAGGTTGTACAAATAGTAAATGCTGAGCATTATATACATTAACGTAGACGTTAACCTGCTCAATGCTTACTAGTTGCATCATAGAAAATCAATACTGCCTGAAATATGACTTTTTTTTCTGGTCAGGACCAATATACCAGTAAATTACCCACATTGTTATTGGAACAGTATTATAGGCATATCAAGCCACAGATTTTACAGTCTAAATGTTTTTCCTCAGGGAGCCGAACCTCAACACACAAACACAAAGTTTTAATCATCTATTAATGTTTTAGGATGTCAGAAAAAGTCAATATTTGTATTATAAGGTTGTGTTTATATAAAAAGGTTTAATCTGAGTGAGTATTAAGGAATCATAAAAACCGGCGACCGAATCAAAGTCTCCTCTGAACGTTGTTTTTCCTCATGGCACCAAATGATTTGTTTAACCAGGTGAATCTATCCCAGCTGGACAGCAGCCTACGTCACGTAGCGAACGCAGAGAGGGAATTTCTACTGTTTGCAATAGTGCCGCTCTGTTTTGTCTCCTAACCTTTCCAGACTGTGATCATCACTGTAAAATAATATGTACCTTGTTAAATGCCAATAAAACCATCGAAACTGTAGGAACAAACTAAGCTTTCTGGTCTGTGTTTGAGAACAAATGACTAACTTGTGTTAACTTATAATATTATGAAAAAAACTATTTATTTTAGTGACATTTAAAAGTCTGTGAAAATTATATTCCAAAAGATCTAAAAAAAAAAAAAAGAAGAATTTTTAATACATAAATGTTATTTTCTGGCCTTAAGTAGCTTTAGGTAGACGAGTAAAGGCTGGTTTATGCTCAGAAAGCAGGTCATCTGCGTGTGTCGCAGTTAATGCAGATATGCCCCCACCCAGGGGCGTTGCTAGGCACAAAGCTTTACTGGGGCACTGGCCCCCTACCGCATATGCCCCTCCTTCCATACATAAATACAGACAAGCACACTGCCCAACCCTGATACATTCCTACCAAAATTACCAGTTGAGATATTAATGAGTATAAGAGCATATTTGTTTTAACAAACATGAACATTTTCAACATTGCAGCTATAAAAAATAAGACATCAACAACTTTGACAAATAAAAAGTTTCCTTATACACATTCTGAAGTAATCATTAATTTCTAGGTTTCAGGGTTTTAGTTCGGGGGAAATTTTAACTCATCCTGAGCTAAGTTTTCCTTTTATTTTTTGAGCATTAAAGTGTACCTCCTATTTATCATTTTTGCAAAGTGGTCAATCACTTGTGACTCAGCTTAGAAAGTTCTTCCTTTTAAACTGATAAAATAGCAAGATGATGGAGCCTGTCTTGTCCCATTGTGCACCTCAGCCAAGTGTGGATCCTTCTCAACACACTGAAAGACCTTTCACAACTACAGCTGTAGATTGTGATGGTGAGGGAGATCTGGATGACCTGCGTTAGTGTGGGGAACATGATGTTATCAAGCAAGTTGAAAACACTGCATATCCTTGATAACAAGGCTTTCTTTTTTAACCAGGAAAAGCTCAAACCATTTTGAATTAAATGAACGTTTTTTTTTACTCCAAATTTGTGCTGGGGATGGTGGGACAACTTCACTTGTTTAGGACCATCATGCTTTCCCCCTAAGTCCCTAATGTCCCCTTCTTGTTTGTGGAAGCTGGTTGTTGCTCCCTCATCACCTTCATGGTCCTGTCTCTCCTGTCTCTCTCCTGTCTCTTGCCTGTCAGTCACGCCTCCTCCTCCCTTTCCTACTCCAGCACCCTCATTCTCATTCTCTACAGCAAACATTAAAAAAACGTAAATTTATATTTATGTAAATATCTATCATATTGCTTATAACGTCCCTAATGTAACTGCTTAGCTTAAATCACTAATTCATTACGGGACCTTACCTCCCTCTCTCTCATCTTGTTTTACTGCTTCCCTGTCTCTGCTTCGTGTGAGGAATTCCCTGATATCCATCTACAAACCAATGCAGTAATTTTCAGTTAGTAGCCTATAAATCATGTGGTTTCACTGGGAAAATAATAAAATTGACAGGTAAGAAACGGTACCAGAACTAAAAATGCGTCGCGGCCGCACAGTGTCCCATCCAACTCAGTTGAGAGCAGCGCGTTAGTTTACCTGCAGTTCATGCAGTGACATGCGCTGACGTGGGGGCGCTAATACGTCCTCAATTTGGAGTTAACAACACACTTGCTACGCATTTGAGTAGAAATATACGTCTCCTTCCGTTAGAATTATCTAAATTGATGCATTGAAAATGTAATACTGTTGCAAATATTCATGAGATTTATAGTGGGGCACAGCTCATTTATACTGGGGCACGTGCCCCAGTAAATGGGGTCTGGCGACGCCGATGCCCCCACCCCTTCCGCAGACACTCTGCTGCACCTCCCCAAAATTTTATTTTGACCGCAGACAGGAGGCCTCTGATTGGTACCTTACAGGCTTTTTTTTTGTTTGACCGCCATTGTGGAAAACGACTCGTTAAGATGTACCAGCGAGAAGAGCGAGGTGCGCAAGAACGCTGGGAACCTTTTTCCACCTGGATCCCCGCTCTTTTTCGCCCTCATGTCCCTTCGTTGCCACACAAACTTACCTCACCAACTCAGCCGTATCGCAACCCAGATTTCGTGATTGTCCCTCTTGTGTTGTGGTGTGGAATAACATACTGCGGACAACGCTTCAAAATTGGGCATAAATTTAAAATATCTGCATCATACCTGCGACAAACTCAGTGAAACACACTTCTGTGAGAGTATAACCAGGCCCTAATCCACCAGAAAGACACTCTGGTGACCCAAAGAGTGAGGGCCAGAAAGGATGCCTGTTACCATATAGAAGGAAAGAGGGCAGACAAGCAGCACGGTGTACAGCGGGTTAGATAAGCCTTAATCCTGGTAAATTTCTCTTGATTAGAATATTTCTAACTAGGCAGTCATTGCTATTGACCAGTATATTCTCATTATCAGTTCGTACGAAATCGTACGAAAAGTTATGCACAGTATTTCGTACGTTTTTGACGTATTTTTCGTCGTATTTTTACATCTTGCCTCGAGACAAGATATTCGTGCGCATGCGCATCTTACGCACCATTCAATAACATAGAATTTAACATACAATTAACCCTAACCCTAAGATACAAAAGAAGCAAGCAACGTAGTGTGAGACATCATTAATTAATTATAGCACTGTCCATCCCAGTTTTACGTCCGTCTGCTTTTTTCGTCTGTCTGGCTGCGCATGCGCATTGATATGTTTTTTTCGATTTCATACGAACTGATAATGAGAATATGTTGCATTGACCCAAGTCTTTGAAACAAGCACAGAGGTCCAAACAGATTACAGCACACCAGGTGTTCTAGACAGGAGCCTACAGGGGCCAGTGCCCCTTAGAACTGGTCCTGGCTTCATCCATCCATCCATCCATCTTCTCCTGCTTATTCTGTCAGGGTCTCAGTGGGGCCAGTTCCAATCACTAGCAGGGTTCACCATGGTCTGCCGTAGGACAAAACATGGGCCTTTCCCCTGGACTGCAGGAGCTATCTTTGCACCAGAGCTAACAAAGCTCTAGATTTTCCAGTTTTGATCACCAAAAGCTCCATCTCCTGGAGACAGAAGCTGGTGTGACAGGAACTGCACCTTTTTGTTGGACCAAACAAGAGCTTGCCTGGCACCAAGTACATCAGGGAGATGGGGAGGAGTTTACTACTCCATGGTGCATGAAGAGCCATACTGCACATGCGTACAACAACTTTGTAAGATGTTGAATAGTTCTGACAGTAACACCTTTTGTGGCTGTATAATAATTACCTGTAAAGCAAAATAGCATTCCTTCCTTCATGCTGTCAGAGAGCACACAGCTGGATGACCCATTTACAGGCGTCACTTTATGCATAGTTTATTGGGGGATGAGCAGAACCATTTCTCCTCTAATCATTCATTTGTTGCAATGACATCCAGAGAAGCTCTCTGACTCTTGGATAGCTGTTGATACATTTTTTGACTCCTCCGGTTAGTGAAAGTAAAGCCTCCCTGGATTATGGCTCTACTGATGTTCACTGGGACATTCAGAGGTTTAGAAGAGCGACTGTTACAATTAGTACTTCTGCTCAACAGGAGGATGAAAGTCAGATCTGTTCCAAAATCAAAATGTAAAGGTGATATTAGAAGAAAGTTAAAACACCAAAGCAGAGGCAGAGAAGGAAAGATGAGCGGCAGTGCATTACACTAATGGACATCCACAGTGGTGCCGTGGGCTTAGGGCGGATTAGAGTTCACTACGTCACTGAGAATTGAAACACTCTCCAACACATGGATGATCCTGCACTATAACTTAGTGACACGTATTACCAAAGCCAATTACCAACAAGGCTGCCATTAGTATGGAAATAAAAATGGTTGAACAGTGAATTCCACATTAATCATAGAAAATAATTAATAAAAAATATATATATATTTTATGTTTACTGAAAATACATTATTTGTGCTTTAAATTTTATTCTCTTTAATTAATGTTCTCTGTTCTTATGCACTCCTAATGCAAAGGACCTTCACAGTTAAACCAGCAAACACAAAAAAAAGAAAAAAAAAGAGAGATGTAAAGTTATTGATGCATTTCTAATACACAGGCTCCCCCTGCTGGCAGTTTGTTAAAACACAGTTTTTTCCTGGGCCAGTAACTTAGACTCTGGGTGCAGGAGAAAAAAACACTTAAATAGCTTTAATATGGGGGGATATTTAGGTCAAATTATCAGGGGGAAAAAAGTTATTGTATGTCAGTGTTAAAGCAGAATTGTGTATATGAGTTTTTTTTATGTGATATAAAATAATAATGAAAGCCTCCAAAGATTTTTTAGGCTAACCCTAAGACTATAACAAATCTAATCTTTAAGCAAGATGTGTGCCT